ATCAATTCCAAATTCACTACCCTTTACTTAATCAACTATAGAAACAAACCTTTGAGTTTATTGTCACTTCAATCTTTAATTTATTAAAAATTACCAGTTACCTGTTTTATTTGCTGTGAAATACAAAAGATCTCAGATAGTCACTTTTAAAATTGTGTTTTGCTCAGGAATAAAAAAACAAACACCACATTTTATCACTCTAAGTGGTAGCTGAACAATGAGAACACATGGATACAGGGAGGAGAACATCACACACTGGAACCTGTTGGGGGTAGGGAACTAGGGGAGGGATAGCATTTGGAGAAATACCTAATGTAAATGATGGGTTGATGGGTGCAGCAAACCCATCATAGCACACGTTTACCTATGTAAGAAACCTGCATGCTCTGCACATGTATCCCAGAACTTAAAGTGTAATAAAAAAAAATTGTGTTTTGGAGTATAGGAGAAATACAGTCAGTGTATGCTATTGAATGATTTCCTGCCAGTGGTTTTCTGGGCATTACCATAATACTCCTGCTTTTTATTAAACAACTTCCTAAACAAATGAATGAATCTTTCCCAAAGGAATTATTTCCTTGACATTTATGCAAAGAACTGTAACCATTTCTTACTGTTCTTTTGGCCTGTTAGAGGAGTTTGAAGTGTCTATGCTCATGTCACCTTTTGCCCCACTTCCAATTTACACACAGCTGTCTTATGTCAAAATATGGCATCTTCACCAATTTTTAAGCTCTTTAGTCCTCCGGGATAGGGCTTTGCTGTAAGAAAGGTCTGACTAAGAAGGGTTGCTGGCTGTTTTGCAAACTAAAAATGCACATGGTAAGCGAATGAAGTCACAGGAATCCTTTCTTAAAACGACATTGCATGTGGTTAAATTTGTTCAATATTTTTTTTTTCATCTTAGAAAGGTACCATTTTATTCTCATGATTCCAAAGTGTATTTAGTTTGTTGATAAAAATATGCACAGTCATGTGTACATTAAGAAATCTCTATGCTTCTTCTTTTAAGAAAGTTATCTGTATTTTGTAAGAGTACTTGTCAAGATTTCTAAAGCTTTTGAGACAAAGAGCTAACAAATAAAAAAACTTCCTTGTCAGTGGCTTTAATCACTGCTGCAGAATAGCTAGCTGTGCTATATTTCGAAAGGCAAACTGGGCTGCGAGAGAGTGGGACAAGTCACTAAATGAGACTGAAACAGCTGTGATTCTGCAAGATGTGCCAACAGTGTCTTTAGCTTCAGGACACCAGACGTTATTTGGTTTATAAAGTACCCTATGTCATTGGCTCTGCTTCTGTTTAAAAGAACAAGATATTGTGTTCTGTACACTCATTTCAGGCTCTCAGGAGTATTAAAAAAACCATCATTCTCAGCAAACTAACACAAGAACAGAAAACCAAACACCACATGTTCTCACTCATAAGTGGGAGTTGAACAATGAGAACACATGGACACAGGGAGGGGAACATCACACACCAGGGCCTGTCGAGGGGTGAGGGGCTAGGGGAGGAATAGCATTAGGAGAAATACCTAAAGTAGCTGACGGGCTGTTGGGTGCAGCAAACCACCATGGCATGTGTGTAACAAACCTGCATGTTCTGCACATGTATCCCAGAACTTAAAGTATAATGAAAAGAAAAGAAAAGAAAAAAGAAACAACTCTGATCCAGATATTCCCTCTAACTTTCTGAGAATACGTTATGATTAAGCTTGCAAGATTCAGTTCTTTTGAAAGAGAATGAGCAAATGATTTATAGCTTCTCCTAGGAGGGAGTCAATTTTCTTCTCTTTTAATCAGGTAACAAATGACAGTTAAAAGGACTTTCCCAAGAGTTTTGGTGGTTACTATGGCAATGCTCTTATTGTGTATTACTGTTAGTATTCCTTTAGTGCTTGCAATACCAAAAATTTTATCTCAGATAGAAAGGATATGCTATGTTTAGAGAGGAGGGATGTGGCAGCATCCAGAGAAGCAAATTCCTAATTAAGGACAAATTTCTAATTAAAACCTGACTTTAGCCTGGGTTTTCGGAATCCCCGAACTAGGGACATTTTGAGTCAGATAATTCTTTGTCACGGGGAGCTGTCCTGTGGACTGCAAGATGTTCAGCAGCATCCCTGGCCTCTACCCATTGGATGCCAGTAGCAGCCTGTACAGGTGTGACAGCAAAGAATTCTCTAGACATTACAAAATGTCTCTGGGAGGCACAATCATTTCCCAGTTGAGAACCACTGCTTTAGCCCATCGATAGTCCTTTATAAAGGGTAAAACGTTTACCATTTTTTGGTTCTCTCACATTTCATTTATGAAGATTTTCTCTGTCAAATTCCTTGTACTGTAATTTATGGCCACATTGTATGACGTCGGTAATAGCCCTACGAGGTCTGATGAATGAACCAGCGGATCCTTGAGCAAAGCCACATGACAGTCAGAAGGAAGAAGCATCTTGAGTTCTGAAATAAAATGTAGAGGTGAAGCATAACTCTGGGAGCATATGATAAATTAAGTATCAGGGTGAAAATTTTTTAATGGGTTGTTGTTGCAGATAGGAGTGCTTGCAAATCTGTGTGTTCCATCCTCTGTCCCAGGACTCAGTATCTGCATTCTTTAAGAAGATAACCTGGACTGTAAAGAAGCTGATTCCCCTCAGGAACTTTGTGGGAGCCTCTTCTGAAAGAGGATCAAAGAAATGGAAACTAGGTGTTTACCTCCCGGCAGGAGAGGAGGAGGAACAGCAAAATGCACTAGAGTGGAATTGTTTTAGCCATGATATAGTCAGTAGCCACGGAGTAGTGCAGAGTCACAGTGTCAGTTAGGGTAGACTAAGTACAGCTATGGTAACAAAATGCCATTAAATCTCAGTGGCTTAAAACACAAAGGGAGATTTCTCATAGCACATATCCATCACAGATTGGCAGACTGTTACTCTTTGTAGAATTTCATTCTATTTTATTAAAATGGTGGCCTTTTTTCTTTTTATTGATACATAATACTTTTCCATATTGATGATGTACATGTGATATTTTGATACATACATACAATGTAATGTATTTGTAATAAACAAATCAGGGTTATTAAGATATCCATGACCTCAAACATTTATTCTTCACCTAAACATTTTATTTCATGGTCGAAGGTGTTTCCTCCTCCTGAGCTTCATGTGGCTTCCTCAAGGATCCCTTTTCCCAGAGACCCGGGCTGAAGGAACAGCCTGGATGCTTCCATCTCTGTGCCTGAGCAGGACAAAGTTCTGAAGGGCCTTTCACTTCCACACACAACTCACTGGACAAAAGTAGCCAGGAAAGGAGAGACACTAGAAATATCTGGTGAATGATGTTTAACTGTAGTGTGTGGTGAAAGTTACACATGGCGCCTCTCATTATATCTGAGACAGCACAACATAACCTTTTACTTTTGGCAACCTTCCACCCCAATCCACCCTCATCTCACCTCTGCCCTGGATTCCAGGCCATAGTGAATAGGTCCAGTGATGTGCATGTGACTTAAGCTGGGCAAATCACAATCTTCTTTTTCAGCCTTTCTCATGGCATAATTCATTGGTTCAAAATTGAACACCTGACCTAAGTGGGCCAATCTGAATACTTCCCTCAGAATTTTATTATAATGGTGCAATTTTCTCTTTTAAAAAATTGATATGTAATAATTGTGCATATTTGTGAGGTATGTATATTTTGATACATACAGACTCTGTAATTATCAAATCAGAGTTACTAAGATATGCGTGACTGGAAACTTTTATCATTCCTTTGCGTTGGAAACATTTTAAATCTTCTCTCTAGCTATTTTGAAATACATAATAAATTAAAAGTATATTGATAACTGTAGTCACCTTACTCTGCTATCAAACATTAGAACTTACATCTTCTATCTAACTGTATGTCTGTACTCATTAGCCTCTCTTCATCCCTTCCATTCCCCGCCCATATACTTCCCAGTATCTGGTAATCATCATTCTACTCTCTACCTCCATTAAATAACTTTTAAGTCCTGCATATGAGTGAGAACATGTGATAGTCTTTCTGTGCCTGGCTTACTTCACTTAACGTTATAACCTATAACTCCCTTAGAATATTAGAACTGAAAATGAGGAAGAGAAACCAGGACCAAATACTAAAGTAATAATGTATAATCTTCCAGTGATTTTAGCCATGATTTCTTCTATGTGAGCCGGAGAAACTTAATTGTAGGTAGAGACAGAGAGAGAAGAAATATGGAAACAGATACCCAAGGAGGATCTGATATGAAAGGAATCTTGTGGCTTTTGATTTGTTAGTTGCTCTAAAGTTCCCTCCTAGTTCTTGGTTTCTGTGAAATGACTGAGAATCCTTTCTATAATCCACCTTTTGGCTAATGCTTAATCTAAATGGATTATTCTTCTAATACTTGCAATGAGCAGAGAATCTATAATTTATTTCTAAAGAAATGTTTTTTATTTTTGAATTTTAGAAAGTATATCATTATTTCTTCCTATGAGATTAAAAAGTTTGTGCTCTTAAATTTTTCCTACTTCCTTCATTCACAAATTAACTTCTAAAATATTTACCATGATTCTTACATTGTTACTATCGTTAATATTTACCTTCTATTTCCTTGTCTCAGGTACATTAGTTCTACATTTGAATGAATTTCATGCCCACTATCAATTACAGCTTCTTCCTTCCCGATGTTTTTATTTCATTCATTTCATTTTTTGACTGGCTTCATTATCAACCAATTTTTACACACATACTCATAAATTTCATCTTCACTTAGTTTTTGTTCATTAGTGAATCTCATTCTGCTATGTTTATGTATGTAAATGATGATCTGGCTGATATAAAATCTGGAGTTCGTATTTTTTTCCCTCGAAAGTCTATAGACACATTCTAGCACTGTCATCTGACATTGAACACTGCGATAAGATTTCTTAGGCAACTCTGGCTTTTTTCCCTCTAACGTTTAGGTGATTTGCTTTCCAATTTTTTTTGTTTGTTTTGTTTTTACATTGGCAACCTCTTTAATATCTAGAGACTAGATATTACAAAATCGGGACTCATTTGTCCAGTATATACACAATATATACAGTACAGCAAAGTTAAATGAAATGCATGTAACATACAGGCAATGGATTACGCTGAAATTTTCTAATAAACAACGGCAAAACACCTTTTGCAATTTCTTCTCTCCCACCTCCCAGGTGGTTCAACAATTCCACTTCCAAACAACATTTCCCATCAGTTTTTAAAAGCTATTTACAGAAAGTGTTATTCTACTACCACTTTTAAATACATCAAGCACTTCCTTCCAAATATCTAGAAAGACTTAGATATTTCATATAACTTGTCCACCACGTACACAGCACTGTTAAATAAAATTGCACACACATAACAATGGTTATCATCTAAGGTATCTTCTAAATGTGGCCATTTTGGCCTTGAATCATTCCCTCCTCCCTTCCTTCTCTGCCTTCAATCCAGTGGACAAGTACAGGAACATGTAATGCTTAGAGACGGCTGAACAAATTCCTATGCAAAAGTCATTTACAGAAGACAAGTCTTCCTATGAATTTCAACACAAAGCGTACAAAATATGCTAATTTTACTACTTTGTCATACACTGGCAACCTCTTTAACATCTAGAGACTAGATGTTGAAAAATTAGGACTATTTGTCCATTATATACACTATATACAGAGCAAAACAAAATGCACAAAACATACAGAAAAATGTCTGAAAATGTCCAAGTATGAACACACTAGTATAAAATATAAAAGGTAAATTACCTTTTGCAATTTCTTCCCTCCCACCTCCTCTAAACCACTGAACAAGTATAGACATTACTATACTGCTTACAAAGGTAGCTTCGCAATTCAATTTCCAAAGTATTTCCTATGAATGTTAGCAAAAAGATATTTACAAAGTGGTATTTTACTACCTCTACATTTAACATACAACGCGCACTTCTAAACATCTAGACAGACTAGATGTTTCAATTAAGGAGTTAATTTGTCCACTATGTACATAGCAGTCTTGAATAAACTGCAAACATGTAACAACAGTTATAATTTGAAAGAGTCTTCCAAATGTGAACATTCTGGCCTAGAACCCTTCCCATCTCCATCAACTCAGAAGACATTGAATTTTCAGAAGACAATCTTTCCTAGGACTTGTAAAACAAAATGTACAAAATATATTAAACTCTACTTTTGTCACACTGGCAACATCTTTAACATCCAGAAAGACTAGATGTTGTCAATTAGGACTCGTCTGTCCTTTATGTACACTATATACACAGATAAGTAAAACAAAATGCAGAGATAATGATTCATCTTGCCTCGCTGTAAGTAGGATGGCATAGAGCTCTCTGCACCTCCCCCTCCTCTCTCTTCCTCTGAACCACTGCACAAACACAATGAGTATTACTCAACAGGTAATTTGGTCATTCCCCCCAAAAAATATGAATTGTAACAAAAAGATATTTACAAAATGTTATTTTGCTACCTCTAATTTTAACATATATCAGGCACTTCAGAACATCTAAAAAGCATAGACATTTCAAAAAATCTTAGCATTGTCAACTATATACACAATAGTGAGGAATAAAATGCACACAAAACAATGGATAGAATATGAAAATGTCTTCTAAATATGACCAGTCTAGCATAGAACCTTCTTCTCTTCCTTCTCACGTCTTCCAGCTCCGTGTCATCTAACCCACTTAACAAACGTGGACGTATCGCTTCCAGAGGCCGTCTAACAACTTCATTTCCAAAAGTCACGTCTCCAGAAGATCTTCATCTCCAGAAGACATGTATTTTCTATGATTTCTTTTAAACAAATGAGAATTTACAAGATGTGTGACTTTCTAACTCTATCATACATTGGCAACCTCTTTCCATCTAAAAGGGCTAGATGTGACAAATGTTTTCTATTAAGAGGTTGGGGTGGAGTTGAGAGCAGTTTTTTCACATTATATACGCAAGCCTTCCATAATCGACCAGTAAATCTTCCCAGAGGGTGGTGGGCATTTACAAAGGGCCAAACGTGGCCTGTCTTCTACCATTTCTCTCTTCTCTGCCAGACAGCAAAGTCTGGCAGAACGAAGACCAACTGCCCGATGGCCGCTAATCGTTCCACCTGCCGTCCTTCGGGACTTCGCTCACCTCCCAGGCCCGTTAAGGCCTTTGTCCGTTGTCGTCAGGACTAGGTAGGTCTCGCCCAATGGCGACAGAGTGGTCACCCGGGAACCGGATCTGCGCGGCTCTGTGGCCTAAAGAGGCAGCCGAGCCTGCCTGCGTCCTTAGGCCGCCTTCCTGGGCCCTACACGCCCTAATAGCCTCCGCCCGCGGCGTTCGAGCGGCCGCCATGCTTCCCGGCCCGTCACGCCCGCCGCCGCCCAGAGGCGCTGTGTCCCGGCGGCTCTGCCGGGGTTTCGTTGAGGCCCGGCAGGCTTGGGCCGGAAGACCCGGCGGCCGGCCGAGTCCGGGCTGGGAGAGGCCGCCGCCGCCATCAGTCACCGAGGTGGGGTGGGGAAGAGAGGTTCGCTGCGGCTTCAAGGCCTGGGCACAGCCAGTGGGCAGCCGCAGCAGAGGCCTCCGGTATCTGCATGGCACAGGGTAGGCCTGTCCCAGGGCCCCCCAGTTCACCCGCCGGCCCGGGGGCGGAGGGCCTGCAGGGCCCTGGAGGAGCTGGCTGCGTTCTGCGTCTCTCCGCGCTCTCTGCCCACCGGAACTTGCTTTCCAATTTTAAGGCTCTTTGAATTTTCTTTATTCTTGATTTTTTTTCCTTTTTTTCAGTTTTATTTTTCCTTCATATCTTCTTTGAAGAATACAATCTCAGGACTCGTCTTAAAGTTGGTCATTTTGTATTGTATTTTCCTGATACACAATATGCTATCAATATATTTATGTTTTACTTTATTTTAGGAAGATTTTACAATATGTATTGGAACATGTTTTTGGTTTTATTTGTTTGTTCTATTTTCAGGTTAAGAAAAACTTATGATATGTGTATGGAATCTGCTTTCAAATCAATTGTGTTTTCCTTCTTTGCTTCCTTTTATTTTTTTCTTTATTATATGTACTATTTTCTCAAGTGTTTTCTTTATGTACCTCATTCTATTTCAGCAGTATCTATTCTAGTTCTTACTGCTTCTAATTAGTTTTAATTCCTCCAATTACTTTATTATCTTCAAATTTCTTTTCTGCTTTTCCAGCTCAGTTTTCATCTTTTAATGCTTTATTTGCTATAAATTTTTCATATTTGTTTTGATCTAGGTTTTCAGAGAAATTAAATTATTTGGAGATTGTAGATAATAGTTTCAGAAACTATTAAAATGGATTTTAAATTAATTGACATTGAATACTGCATTACCATATCAGCAGCACAGATACAGATGTCCATCGCTGTAGAATGTCTGTTGACCAGTGCCACTCTAGAGCACAGGTATTGCTCCGTGCTTTTGTGTGGGATATACTATGCATTTTCTGTGCTCAGCAGCAGTTGCTGTTTTGTTCTTGTGTTCTAACTTCCCTCCCTACCTACCAGAAGCATATCTAGGTTAGGGCCTTGTTTTCAGAATAATAGGACACAGTATTTCTAGATACTAGGTTAGGGCTTTGTTCTTGCAATAATAAGACAGAGTATCTCTAGATACTAGGTTAGGGCTTTGTTCTTGCAATAATAAGACAGAGTATCTGTAGATACTAGGTTAGGGCTTTGTTCTCAGAATAACAAGACAGAGTATCTCTAGAAACACTAAGTCAGCCCTCCTCCTGTGCTTTTCCATGCTGCAGATCTAGGCCCCCACAAATATGCACCCCCTTCCTTCCATCTGCAGTCTTGGAAGGACCAATGAAAGATCCTTCTTGGATATCTTAGAACCCAATTAAAAAAAAAAAAGCTACACATTGTTTATTACCTGGGAAATATGCATAGTTTTTTTTTGGTTCTCATCCAATTGGCATAAATGCTACTATATATATCTGCTATTTCTCCTAGGATCTATTTTTGGTAGTAGTCATTTTACTAGTCTTATGCTAAATGCAGCATTCTTTCCCATAGTTTCATCCTCTTTATTTATTTCAGTGATTTGCACCAAATAATGTTTTGCGCTTTTTCCTATTTTGTTTTATTGAGAGATTATTATAAATTCTTAAGTAAGGCAGCCATGTGATGAAGATATTTGTTAGAGTAGATTGGTGTGTATGTTGTGGAAGGGAATAAGGAAGACATGGGAAGTAATTCAGGAAGCTTTAGGAGTTACACAGGTATGAGATAATCAGGGAATGAAGTAGGATGGCTCTAATTTTGAAGTGTTTTTGTACATAATTGTAGGCCATTACATATTTTAAGATTCAAAGATAATTTACTAACCATTCTAAGAAAAATATCGTTGCTAAGGGAAACAGCTTTACGTTCTAGAAACACTATGCAAAACAGGTGCTTCAGGCTTTAGATATACTTTTCTTAGCTTTAGTCCACACCAGGAGTCTTCTCTAAAGAGGCTGATGTAAACCAGAGAGAAGATCACCTGAGGATACATCACTGAGAAAAATTTAGACACACACACACACACACACACACACACACACACACACGGAACAGCCAATCCATATAAGGAGTTAGATTGTTTTCTTTTTCTCTTTTCATATGGAGCAGACTAATTTATTTTCACAGTTGCCTATGCACCAAGCTACTATGATGACCAGGATAAGATTCTCAGCTCAGGCTGAGATACCCCAAACTGTGAGATTCCATTTATACTTTGGGATTTTTTTTGGCCCAAGTAGCGCTCAGCTGGCGATGATTAAAGAATTCACTTACTAATTTGATTTCTCTAGGGCTTTATTTCTTCCTTCATGTAACAAATATTTATTGAGTGCCAACTACATGGCAGGCATTGCTTTAGGTCCTGGGATAGCTCAGGGAACAAGATCTGAATGCATTCGTCTGTGGCAGCTTCCTTTCTTCAAGCCTTTAATCATAACTGTAACAGTTAATGTCTGTGTGTATAACAGAATCAGAAACATTAGCTAGATATTATTCATACATAAGAGAAATTTATTTTATGTAGAATTCCCTTTGTCTTCCCCTTCTGTTCTTCAAATGTTCCTATTAAAAAAAGAAACATTAGTTTTCAGACATCTTTGAAAAGATAATCAGAATCATTTGAATAATATAAAATACCCTTTGCAATAGCTCTAGCCAATGTATTTTTTTTTTTTTTTTTGGTCAGCAATTGTGTATTTTGTGCAATTTTACATTCTGGTCTTCTTCCATTTTATCCTTGGTAGAAAAAAAAAAAAAACTACCCTATAAATCATGACAAAGACTACAGAAAGAAATAGCTTGGATTTTTGCCCATCTTGGTAGTGTACTTTTAAATCAAGGAAATGTTCTAAAACCAATATTTAAATAGCACATTTGGCAAATTGTTCTGACCTGAATAAAACGGATGACATTTTTTGAAGAGGAAGAGAAATGGGAAACAGAGAGAAAGTTCAAGAAGCCATCCCCTGTGAGCTGGCTTTCCTTTGTTGCAAAATAATCCCCTTCAAGGGCCTTCAGCATCCTTAAGCTCTTTCTCCATTACTGGCAATCCTCTTTTCTTCTCTTTGCACTTTGTTTCTGAGTGTATTGCAAAATTGTTACCTTCATTTATTTTTTCTAGGAATCTTTTCAAGGCACTTTCTGACTAGTTATTCTGACTAGTAATAACTAAGTTCTGACTAGTTATTACAAGTTATTGAGGTAACTTTTCTGCAATGTCCAGCCATATCATCTGTGTAAAGTCACTGGTGTAGCTTTCCCTTTCTCACTGATGCTGACCCTCTCCTGCTCTTGGTTGGAATGCAGAGATACACCCTTTGATATTCTGACCCTTCCCATGCTCCCCACTCACTCCCCTTAGTGCCCTCCCCACTTCCCTCTACCTCATTGTTACTCCATAGCTTTTTTCCTACTATCTAGGCAAATGATAGCGTCACCCTTGCTGACTGCCTCCACAAACCTCTTGCCTATCTTATCTTTCAACTCTTTAAATGTTTCTTACGTAAGTATTGGATGCCATTAAATCAACTAAAAGAGCAAGGGGCAAATAATAGAGAAAACAACACAATTGGAAACTTGGTCAGTTTATTTGAACTCATCTGGTATAAACTTTCCATTTACATTAGGAAAATGATTGCATGTGAGCTCTAGAGTTGTGGACAGAAAAACGTGTATCAGATGTACCACCTTAATAACAGCTACTTGTATCATGTTCTTACCGTTAGAGAGGCATGGCACAATTCATTTCAAAAATAACATCTACTTTATTCCTCACAACAGCTCTATCAGAAAAATGAGAAAATGGAAAGATAAAGAAGCTAATAATTTACTTAAGGTCAAACTGCCAGGAAGTGACCAAACTGCCTTGGATTCAGATCCAAATCTGCTGGACTTCCCCACTTACGCTTATGACAGCTGAGCCACACCACCTTCCCAAGTTCATCCAGTGCTCTCTCTACTCTGTCAAACTGGCTTCCCTGAAATCATTTGTATTTCTTATCCACAGTCGGATAAATTACAGAAACCATAGCCAGGTGTGTAAGTGGAAAGACTGACTAATAGACATCTGATAGAGCAAACAGCCTAAGTCTGCAATGTCGCTCTCAGGTCTGGCTTTACTCACGTGTATGAGATAGTGGTAATCATCAATGTTCCCCAGTATCAGTACCTAATATGTAAAAGGGTTATCATGTTGGGCCATGCGTTTGGGCTTCGTGATTCATAGGCGGTGAACAGAACCTCAACTCGCAGTTGCAATCCCAACCCATTTGTCATGATGCTGAGTTACACAGAACTAGGACACATGTAAAATAAATACCTCTTTTTGTTCCAAGCCTTGATGAGCATTTTTCTTGATGCATTTGGATTCCTCCAGTAAGAAAATGACAATGTAAAGCCATTCTTTACATTCGATGTTGGATGTTGTGAGTTTGAACAAAGGGCTGTGAGACTGCTATGATGTGAAAGCTGGCAAAGTTCACAGAACAAAGGCGGGCAAAGCCCCCTTAAAATCACAGCATTCCACTTCATTTTACTTTGTGTTGTTATGTCGAAAACTGAATTTGCTAGTTTGCAAGTAGACATAATGGCCAGTAGAGCTTCGTCAACTGATTAGTTAGTGTGTTTTAAAGCAAGAGATTGGAAAAAACAAAGAACAGATTTAAACTCATATAAAATCAGCTATGTACTGAAAAGAATTCTTACTTTAGTGTGTTTTAAAGCAAGAGACTGGAAAAAACAAAGAACAGATTTAAACTCATATAAAATCAGCTATGTACTGAAAAGAATTCTTACTTTCATTCAGAGTCATATAAAAAAGTTTATTTTCATGACAAAAAGTGATAATTCATAAAATATAATACCATTGCTTTGATTGGAATATTATTTTTTGCATTCTTGTTACCAGTTGTAGGGATGACAACATCCTTAAAAATAGCACTAACACGCCAATATATATTCAACAACCCAATATCTATTTGTTTGGCTTATATAAGTGTTTTGAACTCTTATGCTGAGGATTGGAAAAGATTGAGAGTTAAAAATATAAATGTCTCTCTCTATGGGCAAGCACAGTTGTTTCTAAGAATCCTGGGATTCTCCATGCTGCCATCTTATCAGGAACATCAAGCAGCATCAAAGCTCGTAGCCAAGGGGATATCTGAGAATTTGACACACAAAGTAATAGGAAATTCATGACTTCAATCTAGTTTTCTTTGAGAGAATGAGGTGATTTTTCAGGATACTGTGTTCTTTCTTATAAAGCCAAGATAATCTATTAAATCTATTCCACTGACATAACATAGAAGTGAGAGGGAGAAGCTGTTCCCAAAGAAGTGGTTAGGACAAAAGCCATTT